CAAAGCCAAAGCACTGAACAGAGTAGTGATATGTTACTTTGGAAAGATGCCAAGGGTCATCAGGGTAGATTCCAGCTGTATATCGTGCCGGGGCTGCCGCTTAATTTGTGGGGCAGAGATGTTATGAAAGAGATGGGGGTGTATTTATATAGTCCTAGTGAACAGGTCACCCACCGAATGTTTGAACAAGGGCTTTTACCTAATCAGGGCTTGGGAACTAAAGGTCAGGGGATACAGGAGCCTTTAATGCCGATCCAACGACCTCCAAAAACAGGCTTAGGGTGTTTTTAAAGGAGGCCACTAATCAGCCTGTACTCCACGCGGATCCCATTACTTGGAAAAGTGGGGAACCTGTGTGGATCAGTGGCCTCTCACCGAGGAAAAAATTAAAGCTGCTGAGCAGTTAGTACAGGAACAGCTTGATAGCGGACATGTAGCTCCTTCTAATTCTCCTTGGAACTCTCCTATCTTTGTCATTAAGAAAAAATCGGGGAAATGGAGATCATTGCAAGATCTTAGAAAAGTCAATCAGACTATGGAAGTAATGGGAGCCTTGCAACCAGGATTGCCTATGCCATCAGCTTTGCCTAGAAATACTTATAAAATAATTGTAGGTTTAAAGGATTGTTTTTATACTATTCCACTTGCTCCTGAAGATTGTAAGCGATTTGCTTTTAGTGTACCCTCGACAAATTTTAAGGAGCCTATGAAGAGATATCATTGGAAAATATTGCCTCAGCCTATGGCTAATAGTCCTACTTTGTGTCAGAAATTTGTAGCTCAGGCAGTAAATAAAATTAGGCAAATATATCCCCAAATCTATATTGTTCATTATATGGATGATATACTTTTAGCTCATGGACAAGAAGGCCTCTTATTAACAGCCTATGCTCATTTACAACAAGCTTTGAGGGATCAAGGATTAGTGATTGCACCGGAAAAGGTTCAGACTGAACCACCATATTCCTATTTAGGACATAAGTTATATCCCAAATCTATATTACCCCAGAAGGTTCAAATTAGGAAAGACAATTTACACACTTTGAATGATTTTCAGAGATTGTTAGGAGATATTAATTGGCTTAGACCATATTTAAAAATCTCCACTGGAGAATTGAAACCTTTATTCGATATCCTCTGGGGAGATTCTGATCCTACATCTGTTAGAAAATTAACTGAAGAAGGTCAGATGGCCTTGTGTGAGGTAGAACAAGCTATAGAACGACAGCAAGTTCAATATATAGATTATGCTCGAGGAT